TACTATTATTTAAAAGGCCCCCAGGTCCGTCATGTCCGCTGCCAGAGGAAAGACATCTCTCAATGCCAGAGATTCGTGAAAAGGAAAGGAAATGTTTATTTAATGCTATACAAACTTAAAGTAGTGACCTAATGTCTTCATCAAAATCCCAAAGTCCCTTAAAACACCCACAAACAGACACAGTCCTTCCTTCCTTCCCCCCTTTGCCCAGTCCAGAGTACCGTATCTCAGGAAAGGAAATAGAAGTCCATGGCTCAGGCAGTCCTCTGGTTCTTCCCAGTTAGTCCTCCATCTCGACTGGGAGACCTCCCTGGGTTCCCGGCTCCCTCAGCTGAGTCACCGGGATCTCTGCTAAAACCAGGTGGTGGTTCCCCTTCTAAAGCTGTGGGGGTCCCCACTCTGTCCAGGCCGTGTGGTTCTCCCTCTCAGGGCTGCAGGAGTCTCTACTCTGTCAAGGCCGCGTGGTTCTCTCTCCTAAAGCAGCACGGTTCTCTCTGGGATGCAGGAGTCTCCACTCCGTCAAAGCCGCATGGTTCTCTCCTTCTCAGGGCTGCGGGAAGGGGAGAGTCCCCACTCCGCCAAAGCCGTGTGGTTCTCTCCTTAATGGCCGCCAAGTCTGGGTCTTAAATCCCCGGGCCAATCTTCCTCTGCAACCTCATTTCCGACTCCTCCCACACTCGGCTTCACTTGCCAGAATTCATATCCTTCCAGCTTTACTGGGCTGCCATCATGAGTCTGGGCAGGTGTGGCCCCGTGTCCTGGAGCCAATCTTCTCCAAGCTCCCACGCAGGCACTGTAGCTTGGGGGGATCTGCCCCCAGTCACGTCTTGGTGGGGAAGTTACTTCCATTCCCCTGGCTCAGAGATGATCACAGCTATTTAACATATCTAAGCGACCAGCCAAAGGCTATAGATATGTTAAATGACCACACCAGAGGGTAGCTGCAAGGCTGTTGCTATGCAAAACAGCTCTCAATGGCCTTGCTCCATTTGTCCCTTCCCCCAACCCACACCCTGGGTGGGGGGATGGAGACATCCCAAAATCTCCTGGACACCCTAAGTTCCGGACCCCATTTCAAATGCCCATTTGGGGTCCCCCCTCTTGGCTGCACCCTGTAACAGCACCATACCTCCTCGCACAACCAAGAATAGAACAACAATAATTTACAGTCATAATATCACTCAGAACTGGCAGAGGATTTATCTGAATGGAAGTCGGACAGCCAAGAAGTTGAAGTACACCCGTACATCCAGACTGGTAGGGGACAACGAGCCGGGTGGGTGCGGGGCGGGCCTGGGGCTGGCGCGGGTCAGCAGCGCACGGAGGTCGGGGAAAATTTGGCGCAAAATCGGTGCGACAGCCATCCGGGACGCAAGAACGCAGCGGTGATCCCTGAGTGCGCAAGCTGCGGCTGGGGGACCCAGTGAGGCAGCAATTGTGGACCAGGGAGGAGCTCAAGGCCCAGGATCCAGAAGAGGTGTCTGAGCCCAGAACGGAACTACCGCCATTGTTCCCGCCCGCCCCCGCCCCCACCCCTGCCCCTGCCCCCACGTATAACGTCACAATCTAGCCACTGGGGTGCCCAGCTCCGGTGAACACCTAAGGCTCCGCCCCCCCACCGTAACAAGAGCGACCAGACCGAAAAGGGAGACAGGGAAAGACATAAGACATGTTTCCAGCAGAACAGATCAGTCCCCCAGGACTCATCCTTTTGAGCGACCAAGAAATAGCCAATCTATCAGATGCACAGTTCAAAACACTGGTGATCAGAAAGCTCATGGAATTGGTTGATTTTGGGCACAATTTAGATGAAAGGATGCAGGTTACCATAAAAGATATGCAGGAAGATACACGGAGGAGAGCCAATAGTGAAAAGAAGGAATCTGAGTCTCAAAACAGTACAGTGGACCAGAAGGAAGATAGACTCAATCAAGCAGGAAAGCATGATGAAATAAGAATTCAAAAAATCGAGGAAAAGCTTAAGAGAATCCAGGACACCTTTAAATGTTCCAACATGCGAATTATAGGGGTACCAGAAGGGGAGGAGCAACAAGTGGAAAAGTTATTTGAACATATAATAAAGGAGAACTTCCCCAATCTGGCAAAGGGAACAGTCTTCCAAGAAATCCAAGAAGCTCAGAGAGCCCCAAAGAAGTTGGACCCAAGAAGAAACACACCAAGGCACATCATAATAACATTAGCCAAGGTAAAAAATGAAGGAGAGAATCCTAGAAGCAGCAAGAGATAAGGGGACAGTAACCTACAAAGGAGTTCCCATCAGACTGTCAGCTGATTTCTCCAAAGAGACCTTACAGGCAAGAAGGGGCTGGAAAGATATATTCCAAGTCATGAAAGACAAAGACCTACATCCCAGATTTCTCTATCCAGCAAAGCTCTCATTTAGAATGGAAGGGAAGATAAAGTGCTTTTCAGATAAGGTCAAGTTAAAGGAGTTCATCATCACCAAGCCCTTATTTTATGAAATGCTAAAGGGACTTATCTAAGAAAAGAAAATAAAGAAAAGACATGTATAGTAAAAGGACAGCAAACTCACAATTATTAACAACCACACGTAAAGCAAAACCAAAAGAAACTAAGTAAACAACTAGAACAGGAACAGAACCACAGAAATGGAGGGCACATGGAGGGCTAGCAGCAGGGGGGTGGGAGGAGGAGAGAGGGGGAAAAGATATAGAGAATAAGTAGCATAGAATGTAGGTTGAAAATAGATAGGGGGAGGGCAAGAATAGTATGGGAAATGTAGAAGCTAAAGAACTCACAAGTATGACACATGGACATGAACTAAAGGGGGGGGAACGTGGGTGGGAGAGGGGGTACAGGGTGGAGGGGAGAGAAAGGGGGAAATGGGACAACTGTAATAGCATAATCAATAAAATATATTAAAAAAAAGAAATGGTGAAAGAGGAAGAAGTTGCCTTGTAACAAGACTTATATAACCATTTGATTATTTAACCTATATTTTCAATATAAATTTAACTTACAAAGTGAAATAAAACTTCAGAATACGACCACAACAAATCAAAGCTGCAGGGTAGCGCTGTGGGGAGGTCATAAAGAATGAGGTCATCATCAAAAAATGTGAGATGTATCTGTACTATTTTAGTTCGTCACACCAAGACTATACTCATTAAGTCCATATTTTAAAATGTTTTTAATTTAAACAGGGAAAGAAAAACTAAAGCCAAAAAAGGAATGAACAGGCCTAAAGAGTTCTTTCTCAAGTAACCAGAAAGAGCATCAGAGGAGGAGATAAAGCATTCCCTTTTCCAGACAGAGCTTCAGAGCCCAGCCAGCCTTTGCAGAGCTGGCCCTGGCACAGTGTAGGTGCTCATAATATGTGTTTAAAATGAACTGGGGTGGGAGTGGGACAGGAGGTTGTGTGTCTTACATCTCAAGTCCAAGGACAGCCCAGTCTCTGAAGTACATATGTGAAGCCCAGTGCATTGACAGGGACACAAATTTTAGATGTGATATCAGAAGCTAGGTGTGCAGGGGCTTGAGTGTCACACCCAAAAGCTGGGTCCTGATTTATTCGGCAGTGATGGGGGGTGCTATGAAGATTTAGGGGCTTAGACTTGGCCTTCAGATGGAAATCATTCCACAATAATACCAGCAGAGGTTGAGAGGGTAGGTTGGAGAAAGAAAGACCACTCAGGTGAGACTGTTGTCCTGACAACCCCTGTGGCCTAGAAAAGCACCCTGTAAGAACCTTGGAAACAACAGGAGAGAAAAGAGTTGGAGGTGATGCCCACAACCTGCAGAAGCAGTCTCAGATCTGTACCTACTCCATGTGGCTGATGCAGCAGAGGCGATTTAGAAATCACTTTGAGAGTAGGCTGTTTTTGGGGTTTTTTTTCCCCAGGAGAATAAGTGATGGTAAGAGCAGCAGTGGGAAAGAAGATTGATTTAAAGTTTGATTTAATTTAGACTAAAAGCTTGGGATTGAGAGGAGACAAGACAAGATGGATGGGGAAGGAGATGCACTTGTAGGAGGGAACATTAATTAATATTGGACAATCAGAAACCAGAAATCTGTAATAAAGAAGAAATTGCGGGGGAGGGAGGAGAGACTGTCTGACCCCAAAGCTTGAAGGTCACACAGAATGTGTGAGCATGCAGCCATTCATTCCATTCTGCAGGCTGTTCTTTACCAAACTTGCCCATCAAAGAAAAAACAGTGCTCTCATGAGCTGGTTCCTTGGGTTCTCGCCTCTGAAGAAGGTGCCTGGATTGTCTCCATTTTTCAGATAAGGAAACTGGGGTGCTGGGATCAGGCCTAGGTTATTAATGGGTGTATTGCCATAGCACCTGAAGACTGAAATAAGTGAGTAAGACTGCTAATAAGCAGCTCTTTATTCTGCTGCTTAAAGTCTGCCCACAGAACCTTACCACTTCAGCTATGTAAGACTCTACACACCATAGCCCTATTTCAGTACTATCTGGAACATAATTAAAATATTGTCGGACTGATCAGAGTCCACCCCTTGCCTCAGATGCTCTTTGACATCTAGACCTCATAAATTCAACTCATCTGGAATTGATTTAGAAAATTCTAACTGAGCGTCCTTCGTAAGTTGTACACTGCTACTCAAACCAACCAAGAAGTCATCGTTATTAATTGTTATTATTATTGCTGCTGTTGATATTGCTACTTTTATTTCATAACATGTACTTAGTCTAATGTCTGTTCTCCATTCTCAACTTCATTTGGGTGGAGCCCCAATCTATGTTATCATTTCTTTTTTCCCACCTCCTAGCACAGTGCCTGACACATAATTGATGCTCAGTAATATTTGATGATTATAAGTGAATGAATAAATGAATAAAAAAGTAATTGAGTCAGCTGGTCTGCCCAAGACCCTCTGAGCACCAACCCTAATCCCCAGTGCAGCCCTGTTTTCTCTCCAACAAGATGAAAGAAACTATCATGAACCAAGAGAAACTCACCAAACTGCAGGCACTAGGGCACACTGGTGGGAAAGGCACTGCTCGTAGAAAGAAAAAGGTGGTTCACAGAACAGCTACAGCAGATGATAAAAACTTCAGTTCTCCTTAAAGAAGTTAGGGGTAAACAATATCCCTGGTATTGAAGGGGTAAATATGTTCACAAACCAAGGAACAGTGATCCACTTTAACAACCCTAAAGTTCAGGCATTTCTGGCAGTAAACACTTTTACCATTGCGGGCCATGCTAAGATAAAGCAGCTGACAGAAATGCTACCTAGCATCTTAAGTCAGCTTGGTGCAGACAGTCTGATTAGTTTAAGAAGACTTGCTGAAGCTCTTCCCAAACAATCTGTGGATGGAAAAGCACCACTTGTTACAGGAGAGGATGATGATGATGAAGTTCCAGATCTTGTGGAGGATTTTGATGAGGCTTCCAAGAATGAAGAAAACTGAATTGAGTCAACTTCTGAAGAAGATGAACTTGAAGAAGTTACTGGGAGCTGCTATTTTATATAATGACTGCTTTTTCAAATTTTGTTTATCGATCTGATAAAATCTAGATCTCTAATATTTTTAAGCCCTAGCCTCTTGGACACTGCAGCTCTCTTCAGTTTTTGCTTCTACACAAATCATTTTTGCAGCTAATTAAGCTGAAGAAGCCTGAGAATAAAGTTTGAAACAAAGGTTAAAAAAATTGATTGAATGAATGAGTGAGCACTCTGACACAGCCTTGTGTTAGATCGGTGGTGTCAAACTCATTTTCACTGGGGGCCACATCAGCCTCCTGGTTGCCTTCAAAGGGCCAAATGTAATTTCAACTCCAAAATACATTCAGCCTTTTGAAGGCAACCTGAAGGCTAATGTGACTACCAGTGAAAATGAGTTTGACACTCCTGTGTTAGATTCTCAGTGGGAAAAGATTTCATTGTTTTTATAAAGTGTCTGATGGTTGGGAAAGAGCTTATTGACTGCCTTCCTCTATGAGAATGTAAGTTCATCATGGTCAGGATTTTGTCTGTTTTGTTTACTTCTGTGTCCTCAGTGCCTGACATGTAGGAGAAGCTCTATAGAAACTTGTTGAATAAACATACACAGTTTCCTTTGAGCCTCACAGCAACCTTACAGGGGCAGATGTAATTAATTTCCATTGTACAGATGGAGAAACTCATACTCAGCAACATGGAATGGAAGCTTGCATATTATAATGGAAAGAAAATATTTGGAATCAGAGAACCTGGGTTCAAATCCCATTTATACCACCTAGTAGCTGTAGATTTGGGTGGACCACTGAAGTCCACTTGCTCCCACTTGGAGCTCCACTGCATTAAACACTGGGCAAATGGGAGGTGATGGTGATGGTGTTATCAGTGCTACCTAAATGCTCAGAAACAAGATTCTTATAATTATTAGAATGGGGTCTAAATAGAAGACCTCCAAGAAGCATAAGAAGGCTTATAAAATAAAATGAGAAAAACTGATGACAAATTCAGAAAGCAGGGATCACCCAAACCCAAGGGCTCCCTGTGAGCAACCCTGTGTGTGGCCTATGTTAACATTTTTGGTTAGGAGTCCAGGCTTGTAGGTGTCAGGACAGCCATGGACAGCCAGAATCCTGCATAATAGAGAAAAATGGCAGATTGCTGGAATTTGGCTTCACTGCTTACTAGCTAGTAACCAGAGAAGGTAATTCCCTCTGAGCCTCAGTTTCCTATTTGTTTTTTTAATATATTTTATTGATTATGCTATCACAGTTGTCCCATTACCCCCCTTCATTACCCTCCACCCTGCACACCCTCTCCCACCCACATTCCCCCCCTTTAGTTCATGTCCATGTGTCATAAGTTCTTTAGCTTCTACATTTCCTATAAACTATTCTTGCCTCCCCCCATCTATTTTCTACCTGCCATCTATGCTACTTATTCTCTGTACCTTTTCCCCCTCTCTCCTCCTCCCACTCCCCTGTTGCTAACCCTCCATGTGATCTCCATTTCTGTGGTTCTGTTCCTGCTCTGGTTGTTTGCTTACTTTTTGTTTTTGTTTTAGGTGTGGTTGTTAATAATTGTGAGTTTGCTGTCATTTTACTATATGTGTTTTTTATCTTCTTTTTCTTAGATAAATCCCTTTAACATTTCATATAAGGGCCTGGTGATGATGAACTCCTTTAACTTGACCTTATCTGAGAAGCACTTTATCTGCCTTCCATTCTAAATGAAAGCTTTGCTGGATAGAGAAATCTAGGATGTAGGTCCTTGCCTTTCATGACTTGGAATACTTCTTTCCAGCCCCTTCTCACCTGTAAGGCCTCTTTTGAGAAATCAGCTGACAGTCTGATGGGAACTCCTTGTAGGTAACTGCCTCCTTTTCTCTTGCTGCTTCTAGGATTCTCTCCTTCATTTTAATGTTGGGTAATGTCATTATGATATGCCTTGATGTGTTCCTCCTTGGGTCCAACTTCTTTGAGACTCTCTGAGCTTCCTGGACTTCCTGGAAGTCTATTTCCTTTGCCAGATTGGGGAAGTTCTCCTTTATTATTTGTTCAACTAACTTTTCCACTTGTTGTTCTTCCTTCTCTCCTTCTGGTACCCCTATAACTCGGATGCTGGAACATTTAACAATGTTCTGGAGGTTCCTAAGCTTCTCCTCATTTTTTTGCATTCTTATTTCTTCAATCTTTTCTGGTTGAATATTGCTTTCTTCTTTCTAGTCCACACCATTGATTTGAGTCCCAGTTTCCTTCCCATCACTTATTGGTTCCCTGTACATTTTCCTTTATTTCACTTAGCATAGCCTTCATTTTTTCATCTAATTTGTGACCTAATTCAACCAATCCTGTGAGCATTCTGATTACCAGTGTTTTGAACTGTGCATCTGTCAGGTTGGCTATCTCTTCATCGCTTAGTTGTATTTTTTTCTGGAGCTTTGATCTGTTCTTTCATTTGGGCCATTTCTTTGTTGTCTTGATTTGCCTGTTATGTAGTGAGGGGAGGAGCCTTAGGTGTTCACCAGGGCAGGGTAACCCACATTGCTGGGTTGTGATGCTGTATGTGGGGGTGGGGTCCAAGAAGGAACAATGGCTCTTTCTCTGCCCTCTGCTGGCTTTCAGTCACTTCCCCTGCTTCCCACAAGCAAATTGGGCCTTTCCGATGCTGATTCCTGTGTGGGTGGGTTTGTGTACATTCTAGGACCCTGTGGGTCTCTCCAACAAACTCTCCTGTGAGGCTGGGAGTTTCTCCCACTGCCACCTCAACCCCCACAGGTGTTTTCAATCAGTGGTTTGAGGCTTTATTTCCCCTTGCTGGAGCTGTGGGTTGTGTGGTCTGTCTCTCCAAGTATTTCTCCCGGTTTATCTGCATGCAACTGTTGGACCACCTGCTCCTCCAGCCACTGCCCAGCTGCGAGTCCTCTCTGCCCTAGCTGCCTGATTCTACCCCTCCTACAGGTCTGGATGGATGTGTCTTCTTTAACTCCTTGGTGGTCGGACTCTCATACAGTTTGATTTTCGGTCAGTTCTGGTTGTTTTGTTATTTTTAAATTATTGTTGCCCTTCTTTTGATTGTGCAAGGAGGCACAGTGTGTCTACCTATGCCTCCATCTTGGCCAGAAGTCCCATGTCTTTTTAATAATACATTTTACTTAACCCAATATATGCAAAAATTATCATTTTAATATGTGAGCAATATAAATTTAGTGAGATACTTTACTTTTTTATATTAAGTCTTTGGCATACACTTATAGTATATCTTGTTGCGCGTGGGTCACCGGCTAGCAGTGACCACGGCACACTGTGGATGGCTCGACAATACGCGAGAAAAAACACACATGCACAGAGACAAACTAGTTTCTGTGGGGAAGTAGGGACAGAATGGCCACCCCCCCTAGTGGGGAGCGCGCCGATCCACCGTCCATACCTGCTTTTATTAGGCTCATTTTGCATAATAACTCAGGTAACGTACAATACTCATTAGGGGAAGTAAGGAACATATAAAACAAAGAACTCTGCCGGTCTATTGAGTTGGGGTCAAAGAGCTGTAAGGCTGAGGAACAAACTAGCTTCCTCCTAAGACCCTCCTCATTCAACTGAGAGCGTTCTTAAACAAAGAAGGTTTCACAGTAATTTACATGTTCTTTCTTAGGCCTGATCACCCCGGGAAATCCGCACTTCCCAGTACCGAGCTGTACTTCCCCGTCATTGTTTCAGGCTTAGGTGGAGCGCGGGAACTAAGGCCACCGAGAGATAAGGAGATTTTCTTCCGGACGCTGAGAACTCAGACTTTGTCAAAGCCGAGGAGTGAGGGTCCATCACCCCCCTTTTGCTGCAGCCCCCCAAGTCCTTCTTTTGGGGGGGCCTCCCAAAGTGATCGTGCCTGGCTTGGGTTTTTCCCCCGTGGGGAATCTTACCCGTCTTTGGCTAACCGACCAAGCTTTTTGGGGGGTTCAGTTATGAACAAAGCAGCAGAAACAGCATTCCTGCCAGGAAGATAAGCTTTTGTCTCCTTGCCGGCTCACGGTTCCAAGGGCGTTCCCTTAGCCTAGCCTAGGCGGGGGTTTCAGTTTCTGATACCAGTCAGGGCGGTTCCCAACAATATCTCAATTAGGATATTAAATTTTCATCAAATATACTTGGTTTGTATTTGGTTTTCATGGAATTTACATTTGAAGAAGTATATTCACATACCCAAATTGTTCCAGGTATACTGTGATAGGCAGAATAATGGTCCTTAAAAGATATGCATGTCCTGGGAACCTGTGAACGTTATGTTATTCAAGAAAGAATTAAGGTTGTAGATGGGATCAAGGTGGCTAATCAGCTGAATTTATCATGAGTAAATTACCCTGGATTATCCAGGCAAACCAAATGTAATCACAAGGGTCCTTTATAATGGAAAAGGAAGGCAGGAAACGAGGTCAGAGTCAGAGAGCAATTTCAGGATGCGATGTTGCTGGTTTTGAAAATGGAGAAAGGGGCCAGGAGCCCAAGAATGCAGGCAGCCTCTAGATGTTGGAAAAAGCTAGGAGACAGATACTCTCATGAGCTTCCTCAAGGAACAGATCCCTGCCAGCTCTTAATTGCAGCCCAGTAAGGTTAATCTCAGATTTCAGATCACGACAACTGTAAATGTGTGTGTGTTTGCATGTGTGTATACTATATATATTTTTTAAGTTTTTCAATAACTGAATCAAGTGTCAATTTTTCTTAACAGCTTTATTGACGTATAATTGGCATGCAATAAACTGCACACATTTAACATGTATAATTTGGTAAAAAAATAAGATTTTACTTATTTATTTTTACAGGGAGGTGAAGGAAAGGAGAAAGAGTGAGAGAAACATGAATGGGTGGTTGCCTTTTGCACGCCCCCTGCTGGGGACCTGGCCTGCAACATAGGCATGTGTCCTGACTGGGAATCCAACCAGCAACCTTCCAGTTCTCAGACCAACACTCAATCCATTGAGCCACACCAGCCAGGGCCAAATTGTTACATTTTAATATATGCATACACCTATTAAACTATCACCACAAATCAGCTAACAAATACATCTTTTTCCCCAAAAGTGTTTTGTGTCC